CACGGGCAAGCTTCAGTTGGTGCGGCTGAGGATCGTCTGTGGGGGTGGTATTAGATTTGCTAGGCTGGACCAATACGCATTAAGGTTATGTAGTGCAAAGGCGCAGTGGCTGTGGTGATACTCCTAGGCGTTCTTCCTGCTGGCTCGAATTAGTATCGCGCACGGCTCAATACAGTGACCATTGGAAACGAGCGATAGCCAATTTCATACAAACAAGATCTCGATTTTGGTTGACTCGTGTTACTTATCTCGTACGACAGGATGGGATAGGATATTTGGTGGCTGGTTTCAGCCTTGCGGCATGAGTTCAGCTGTCCTCAAGACAGCACACGGAAGCCCTCGCAAAGCTTTTTAGCCTCGCTTTCCCATCGCCGCTCACGCGTAACAAGATTCTCATGCCACAGCTGTTCAGTCCATGTTCAACTCTTCTCTTCGCACGGTCTACAGCCTCTTCGTGCTCGGTGAAATTATTGAGTGAGCATGTGCATCAACAACGCCAGCATACTGACGAACCTGATATGGGAGAAGTCTTCACCGAAGGCAATTCCACAGTCCAAAGGACTACAGGCGCAAAGCTGACATCGCTGGCGCAACATGTTTGCCCGCCATGGATCGCTCCGCTATCAATGGGGAGGGTTGTTCAGCACCATGGCCGTGCAATGGCGACCCTGCCCAGTATGTATAAGTTATGATTGTGCTTATGTAGGTGTTCGCTGGGATAGGGAGGGCGCGATCGCCAACTTCGAGACGCTGGGACGTGGTATAGAAATGCTCGAGGGCCGTAATGCGAGGATATGTGCGAAGGATGTCGAACTTAATAGACGTTAGCGGTAGACAACAATGAGTTCAATGGGGAGACGTACCAGAACAACGCGACAACAGATGATATCTTGATCGAAGCTAGCAGAATGCCACACATCGCCATTTGTGACTACCTTGTACAATTCTCGAGCAAGCTTCTATTGTGAGTGCAGCTTAGCCGCGGGTAGTAGCAATGCAATGCAATGCCTAGAGGGTTAGTTGTGGTATTGCGCCCGGCGAACTTGACGACGCAGACGTTTCTTTGAGTTCCAAGGTTCCCAGGTCTCGTTCTTATCAAGTGCATGTGCGAACACAGTCTCTCTGGTAGCACCTACTGTGATGCTCTGATTTGATGGGCGAGAATGTAGACTCGGAGCAACTGATGCAGTGGGCGGTTGGGCGCGTCCTGGCAGGAGCTCACACGCGTTCGTGGTACGCGTGGGAAGGGGTCCTCGGGTTACCTAGGTACGCTCAACATGCTCAATGTGGGCGCAAAACCAGTATTGAGATACTCGGTGAGCAAGGATCAACATAATCTCTCACGATAGAACTAATAGTGAGCTATGCATGGTACGTAGTAAGTGGAAAGAAGCCGCAAGTGCGGACCCGGGGTTGGTGTTCGGAGGTTTGCCGCTGGCTTGGCGCCGACGCTTCAACGTCGACCACTGCCTCACGCGAGATGCACAGCAGGGCTTGTGGCAACTCGTCATCAACCTTCTGGCATCGGGCATCTGTAGTATGTCACATCTCGTCTCTTAATTATTAAGAGACGAGAACGTATGGATGTCCATCCATGATATCATTCAGCGGTTCAATTTAGAGCACGACGAGAAAGTACGGAAACGCAGCCCATGCGCAAAGAACGATATGCATCCAACGAACCCTCGCGATACCCTCCAGCACCGGCTGCTCCTGCGAAGTTCATTCGACGTACAAACGAATCGCGTGGCAGGTAGCGTAGCCCGTACCTAGGTACCCTTCACGAGGGCGGAAACACCGAGCTACTCGAGAGACATATCTCGCTCCCACATCTCCAAGCTGTTGTTGTCGGACGGTTCTTCATCGTCAAAGTACATCCATTCCTTAAACACGGAGTCAGGGTCTTCCTCCATCGGATCGATCACATCGACTGTGACGACATCGCCAACTGTATGCTCGTCTTCCACGTTCCCTCCTCCAGGTCCGCCACCACCATCATGAATTCCAACGATTGAAGCCCATGACGCATGGTCCTTCCTTCTAAGATCCTCGCCTTGTTCAAAAGAGTGTCGGACATTCTCCTCCACACCCATAACTGAGGGTGGCAGAACGACCTTGTTCGCGTTGTCTGCTCGATCGCGCGATGCAGTCCGTGCACCATGGGCCAGCAGAAGATCTACTGTGTAAGCACGCTCTTCCTGGTGATAGCTCCAGTACTTGTGGTGATTTTGCTCGATGATCTCTATGGCAGATCGGGCGCGCATGTACTTCGTTCCACAAGTAGTGAGAGTTACATCAATTTGTTTGTGGTGGAGTAAGAGCTCTATGATGCCAAGCTTCCCAGATTCCACGGCGACGTGTAATGGTGCTCGGCCGTCACCGTCTTTATGATTGACGTCCACACTCGGATGAGCATGGCTATGGTATGTTTGAGCATGTTCAAGTAGGAGCATTGCCAAACTGAGGCTGCCAGTATAGGCGGCACGATGCCAGAGGGTGTTGTTCCGGGCTGGAAGAGACGTTAATTCGAGTAACCCTCTTTTCAAGATATCGACGCGCTTTCCAGACGACTCTGTCCTAAGATTCAAACTTTGGCTAGTGATATCCAGGGGGACACTTTCGTAGTCAAATAGTATCTCTACCAGACACCAGTGTGCTCCCAAGAACGCTTCGGACAACAGCGACTGTCGACTGTTTCTCACGTCGTTTCGATCAACCCGGCCATCCCCCAGTAACACACTCAACAATTTGCCATGGCCACCCTGTGCTGCCGCCTGGCACAAGCTCAATTTTGAAAGACCAAAGGTTCGATTGACATCGACGTCCTGTCGAAGTAATAAGAGAGCTACCGCCTCTGTGTGTCCACCGCGAACAGCGGTTTGCAGTGGCGTCATTCGGAGGCCAGAGCCAGTTGTGTCCTGGATATTGGTGTCAAGTCCTCGGTCGTCAAAGGCTTTGAGCATCAGCCGTATGACTCCTACATGTCCTTGGCGACATGCAAGATGTAGATATGTTTCTGTCTTTCCTGAACGCAGCCTCTGGCCATCGAGAACAATACTAGAGCATTGGAGGAGCTTTTCGACAACCTGAACATGCCCTTTCCAAGCAGCGATACCCAGCGGCGATGAAAGCCCGTGATACACCCCCCGGTTGGGGTCTATGGTCTCAAATCCGAGCAAAAGACCTACAGTCTCGCTTTTTCCTCTGGCAGCGGCGAGGTAAAGAAGACTGCGCTTTGTAAAATAGGACGTAGCAAGAGCCGTATTGACATCTAACTTCCCAGACCTCAGCAGGCATTCCAGCACGGCTTTCTTATCTTTGTGAATAACTCGAAATACCCCTGATCTACCCTCCTTCTCGATCCATTGCTGAGTAATCTCGGGTAACAACAATAGTGTAGCCATAGATGCCGTCTCGGGGGAACTGGCTGCGATCTCGAACAGTTCACGACCAACTAACCTAAACATCTGTTCGCCGCAGGGTGCCCACGCGGTCTTGAAAAATTGGGTTTGGTCTGTTTGGATTATCGCGCACAATACATGTTCGGTGATGTCGACTTTTCTTTGCACAAGAATGTTGAATGTGGAAGTACAATGACCTAATATCGCTTCGTGTAGAGGTGTTCTCCCCTACTAAGCTGTTAGCACGCATACCAAGATGTCTTAGAACCGCGTTAGCAAAGCATAGCAAAGGAGCTACATACTAGTAATAAGTTAGAAATATATCTTAAGAGCTATTCGTGGCGGCTACTTTACCCTTGCTGTTTACAATATCCGATCGCGCTCCCGACTCGATGAGAAGACAAACCATATCGGTCTGGTCGGCTTTGGCAGCGCAATGCAAAGCGGTGGAACCGTCATCAGCCTGCATCGAGATGTCGACGCCTGACTGCAGGATAGCTTGTACGAGCCCGATATTGCCTTCCGACGCTGCCTGCATGAGCATATGGGTACCTGCTGTCGATGAGGCACTATGGGCATTGAAGGGCACATCGAGTGGGCTTGCCGTCAAGACGTCATGCGGCTTTGCTCGACGACAACCTAATCTGAGCTTAGGAGGGCCAACAGGCAGTTCTGGGTGGCAGTTCCGGATATGCTGGCGGATATTGTCTTTGCGAGAAGCTTTAAAGGAGCAGCCCGTGACGACACATGCATGTCGGGCTATGCCAAGTCGGTGGCGTGCCTGTACATGTCTGGCGAGGTCGGAACGCAGAGCGAAACCTCTTGTGCAATCACTGCATTGGAAGGGCTTTGTATGCGTCTTTAAGTGTTGGCTAGCTTTACGTTAGTACCTAGGTAATCAATGCAAGCGCACTAAGGCGTGAGCTTACTTGTAGCGCCCCAGGGTTTCAAAACGCTTAGAGCATTGGTCGCAACGGAAAATCTCGCGCGAATCCATACTTGGAATGTTGGAATGGATGCGCGATCATCCCAGAAGTTATCAGCTATAAGGATGGCTACTCCACCGTGTTTTATCCATTGAGAGTAAGCTGAGGCTGAGGGCTCAAGAGCAGCCAGTCATCTGGCTGAGAGGCGCCCTCTATGACAGGCATTGACAGCACTACACCATTGGGTGCCTCTTTTACAAACTCCTCACCTGTTGCATGTTTCCGTGTCATAAGCTTTCTTCATGCATATTCCACCCAAACCTTCCTTTCCAACCGCCTCCATCCTCTCGCCACATTTTGCTGATCTACTCACTTACGACGAACGACCACTCATCGAGCTTAACTGCCTGGCTTGTGCGCTCTATCAACACAAGGTCGCGATAATCATTCGTGATGTCGGCTGCGAATTCGAAAAGATCGTGCGACAGTATCACGTTCGACGCCGAAATGGAGTTTTTCGACTTGGGTGATCGATTCACCCACGGCTGGGAGGACCAGGCTACGTCACGCATAACCTGCGACGCAACGGATCCCAGGTAATTTTTTTTTAACACCTTCTAATTATGCCTTTTCTCAAAGCCCTGTGATGTCTCGCGTCCAGGCCCCGCTATCGCTATTGGACTGTGCATACTTGCAGCAGCTTGGCAACCCAATCATCGACGAAGTCGCCCCTAGCATCCACGAATACCATGTTGCCACACCCACCGAAGGACCTGACAGCCTTCTGGGTCCGTACGGCCCTGTCATCGACACCACCCAAGACACCCCTCTTGGAGATATCAGTGGATTCGACTATGCCATTGACTGGACCCTGTTCAGTGCCGTTGATCCTCTGGTGGACAACAGCTTCCTTGTGAACACAGGGACAGTTCCGCAGTACAACACCGCCCCGAATCCATGTGTGCTCCCTGGGGCAGTACCTAGCTATACCTACCCTACCATCGCCCCCGCTGCTACAAACACTCTTGCACCACCCAATGCATCTTCCGGTGCGCATGTCGGCGCCCAGCACCGCATTATCGACACGCGCATCCGTTGCACCGCACTTGGATGCAGCAAGACTTTCCGCCGTGTTGGCGATTGCCGCCGCCACATGCGCAAGCATCAAGCTCCTAATCTCAGATGCGTTGTCGAAGGTTGCCACCTGAAGTTTGACCGCATGGACAAACTTCGTGACCACGTCCGCCAAGGCCACAAGATGAACTTGTAAGGGTTGGACCTCGGGGTTTGCTCTGATGCAGTATGTACGTGGGATGGGACATGTCATTGCGTAGTCTCTGTTGAAGTTTGGTGTGCTGCGTGGAATGTTGGATCTCTGTTTCCCACCAGATTGTAACCTTTCCTTCAGTCAGTCAGTCGTTACCCATGTACAAATATGGTTGGCGTTAGTTTCATCGATCAAAACACCACAGTCATTACCGAACAGCTTGACCACCAAGATGCTATTGCTTTTGCTACCTAGGTATGTCTGTGAAGGAAGGCTGATATCGCAGGCCCGGGGTGACGCGAGGATCGGGCCGATCTACGTAGATCGACCCCTCCAAAAGCTGCCCCACCTCAATCAAAGAGACCAACACCAAACACCCTGGAGCCTACCTAGGTACGTCGACGCCAGGCTTTCTAATTTGCTTCTTCCATCCCAACGTAGTCTCCAGATCTGAATTTTCCTTTGTATGAACCGGCACCCGCTGAAATCTTGTATGTTAGCGTCTTTATCCAGCCTCATGAAGACAATGCCTATCCAGGTGCGTTCAGTAGACAACTGCTTTATTATGAAACCAAAAGGCTTCCGTACTACGTAATCTATCCCCAAACCAAACTAAACCGCCAACCCACCAAAAGAGCCTCTCCAAGGAGAGAGATCGAAAGTAAAACTGCACCCATCTCCAGCTACTGAGGCTGAAAGCTTGCCCCATCCTGACGTTCCCGTGATGTGTTTCAGTGAAGTACCGCTCACGCACCAAGCTCATCTCAAACCGTCACAAAACCACCAAACAATTGCTAAGCATCGGAAAGACAGGAAAGGTATGCTGAAGAGAACCCTTAGACGTTGCACAAGAAAGAGGAAATATCGTCGTTCATGGTGGAGAACTCGCTGTGGGAGCGGATGTTGGCAACATCACCAGTGGTAGCAATCTGGCCGTTTCCATTGCGGCAACCGGTATCGCTATGAAGCAGTCAGCTTGTGAACCCCTGAACTCGTGTTATGCAATCACTTACTTGTAGAAGATGCAGTTGTGGCCGTTTGCCTTGAGCGAGCTGACCTTGTCGTTCAGCCTCCCGGAAGCCTCTGTTTTGTGTTAGTTACCATGTTCAAGAGATATGCATGCTGGATATGACTTGCCGCAGATGCCGTAGTGAAAGTTCACATTGTCGCAGTCGTTGAAGTCCTTGTTGGAGCAGAGCTGAACACTGGGGTTGAGCTGCCTCTGCTGGATGGAGGCGGCGAAGGCGGCCGAAGAGGCGAAGAGGGCGAGGATGATGGTCTTGGAGAACATGTTGTTGAGTTGAGAGGAGTCGATTGAAGACTTGGAGTGGCAAGATATGATGATTGAGTGTTGGAAAGTGATGGTTGTAGATGATGAGAGATATATATTTTGTGCGGAACTCTTTCAGTTCTTATAGCTTTCGCTATGCCTTCGAGTTGTCTTCCTTTCACATCTATTCCATCTTCCGGCACTGTCTTTGACCCCCAAAAATCATAGCCATGAGCAAATATCGGCGATATCTCATCGCTGAGACTTGGATACGAGCGTGACTGATTCGATCAAATGAAGCCAAGTATGCTGAGATGGTGTTGCAAAGGCCCTACACCTCACCGACAAGTAATCACCTCGAGCAGGTCCAGCATGACAAAACATCGCTTGAGCATACCATGATGGACGCAAGATGTGAAGTTCGAAGTAACATGCTTGGCAGCCGTTGGATTAGTATACACCGGAGCACTACCAAGACCGTGCTCGGGCCGGTCTGAACAGTCGAGCGGATGCAGAAAGACGGACCGATCCAGGTAGTCGGAAGACCCTGAATGTCCCTGAATCGCAGGGCTGACCTGGTCGAGACGGACCTAATGCAGGTCATAAGTCTAGATTTGTGCCTGGATTTGGACCGAGTGGGGATAGCGAGGCCATCCTGATGACTGATACTCAGCGGTGAAGAGAAATAAGATACCTTTTCAGCTAGCGACCCAAGTCCTTGGAACTCACATAGTTACTGCATTTGGCAGTGACTGCACTACAAGTAATTTCGTGTCAGTGCTGGGCATGCTGCTTCTGTCAATGAGTAGACCCGATGTCAGCGAAAGCGCGAGCAGTCCAAGTCCTTAGGGCTGATTCGAATACGGCCTCAGTAACAATCGTATGCTTGGTAGTCTGTCACCGTCGCGATACTTTCTGCTTCGGCGCGAATGCAGCGGATGCCGATGAGGATGTGAGCGGAGATCCAGCAGTCGTTGCATCCGTATCCGACGCCGGATGTAGTGTCTCAGTAATCGGGTATCGAGGCGATGTATGTTGAACGAAGCTGTAGAAGTTATAAGACCCGGAGGAAAGGCTTTCTTTCAGCATCAGCTCAGTACTTCACTATTCTTCCTGCATCCTCACCTCAAATCCTTCACCTTCTCATTCTTATACCACAGCCTTCATCAGCTACCCTACCTTACCATGACTGCCTCATTCATCAAGCTATCCCTCCTTGCTACCGCCAGCATGGCCGCAGCCGCCAGCATCAATGCGACGGCCAACATCGACATCGACGTTTCTTTGGGAGCAATCCCCATCGAGGTCATCGCCGAGAAGGTCCACGTTCCCACGAAGGCCATGGTCGACCTCCTCAACACCGTCGACTATGTCACGATGACCGTGGAAGACTGGTGCCCCCTCCTTCAGCAACCCATTGAAGCCGTCCAGGCCTGGCCGGACCACGTCAAAGAATACGTCTTCACCGAACTCTCGCTCGAGGTCTCGGCCTTGGTCGCCCCGGAAGCCGCCCGTGTCGACGCTGTATCCGAAGTCAAGAGCAACAAGCTTGCCGCTCGCAACGACTCGGTCCGTCGCATGGAGCGTCAAGCGCTTGCCCTTCACGATGCGCGTATCAAGTCAGGCCGAAGCGGCTGCTTCCAGAACTGGGCATGTGGCTCTTGCGTCGTTGCTGCTGGGCTTGCAGGCGCTTCTGGTATCGCTGGATGCACTGGCGCTGCTTTGGCCGCCATTGAAGGCACCGCTGGCTTTGCTCTCGCCGCAGTCTATGCTGCCTACGTTGAATGCACTGCCAAGGTTGGTGGTGCTACTACCGCCGCCATTGGTGTTTGCCACTCTGGCCTCTAGTTCGATACTGTCGGATGATTCGCGGCTAATGTAGTGAGGTAAGACATCTGTTTCCCCTTCACCTTACAGTGAGATCCTCGTCTAACGGCATCACAGATTGTCCAGAGGCTTCATTACGCCAGATGTGTTGGGCGGTTTTGAGCAGGAAGCAAGGGGCTACTTGTGGCAAGGTTTTGTAGATCGGCGATGTAGCCACCATGTCTGTATTTGGTCGATGTTTGGTTTGGTTGGTGTTTCGATGCTTCGATTCGAATTAATGGGAGTGAGTGGTCAAATGGCTGTTGGATGTTTAATCGAGGAATTCATAGATGCAATACTCACCCGTGTCCCGTGTTCCGAGTATCACCAGCCCTAACGCGCGGTGACATGCATGTTGCACGTCTTCTCTCCGCTTAGAGACCTCGCCCGCGCCATTCCCACCTATTGAAAGGGCCCATCTCCACAGCAAGCATGTCAGCGATCAGCGCAAACCCTTGCGGCTCGTCGCCATCGCCCTCATTGTTGATTGAGCTGCACGAGAAGCTGCCACATGCGGCTAGAGGGCCCCGCAAGTCTGGACCCTGAAAAGACGTCACCCGCCAAGATATGATGGCATAGCATCAGCCGCTATTGCTCAAATACATGGCAGTCGCTTAGGACCGATGTGAACGAACAATTACGATTCTTTTTTGCTGCACCTGCATACCAAAGACCCTGAACTTTCGGTGCGGTCCTTCTACGGCCTCTAGGGACTACCCAGCTAACTGATAGCCAGGGACCAGTACCCTCCAATCACACTATTCGACACGGCACCGCCTAGACCCTAATAGTAGTTCACAGACTCCACGTACGTTTACGCTCTCAAGGTATCCATGATATCTCAGGGTCCATGCTAAAATTGACAGCACACACCGTCTTCACCATGAGTTCACGACCATCTCTCATGCCGCCCACCGAGGGCTCCTTCCTCTCATCGGGCGCCTTCACTCCCTCGGGCCTCACACCCAACACACGCTCCGAAGCCGAAGCCGCCTTCACCTCCAACAGCGCTTCGCAAACCGATGCGGCTGCTCCCGACCCAAATCTTTTGCCCCTGATGGGTGCCGGTGGAGGAAACGAGACAACAGACAATGGCCCAACTGAAGCTGTCCGCGCTTACACTGGCTACCGCCGCCCTGGTATGGCTCGAGCCAGCTCGGCGAACTACGAGAACGCACTGAAGCGAGCGCAGCAAGCGTCCGTCTCGTCCGACTTCTCCGCCGACTCTGAAGTACCCGACAACGTCACTGCAGGCCAAACAGTCGCGTCGCCGACAGGCTCCACTCCATTCCCGCCTCCCGGTCAAGGTGTAGTGCCCCTCAACTACAACTCTACTCCCGTTGGCGCCGCTCAAGGCGATGCAGTCAAGAAGACTCGTTCGCGTGGCCTGAGTCTCAGTGGCCTTGCCCAGCAGCAGGGATGGAGCGAGCAGGACTACAAGCGTGTATACAGCGCCGATTTGCTTGCTGAAGAACCGAAGAACAGCGCTGGATATGGCTCAGGCCCGAAATAAGAGGCGAGCATGACATCACGGTGCATGACGGCGTTCATGCAGACCGACACTCAGCCCAAGGGAATGCAGCGGTCATTATAGGACCGCTAGCTTGCTACAACTGCTATTACATTTACCACATCATGAGCTACATGCAAGGCGTTGGGTGGAGTTCTGCCAAAACATGGAGGTGGCAGGCCGACGATCCTGTTTAATACATCGATTATGATCCAGTGCATTTCACTATCGTCCTTGACATGAATGCGATAAGAGCCACAAACGTTGAGCAATAGCAACTACTAACTGCGTAGCATCATATTGCCCTTCTCTACCATCTTCTTATACTTCTCGCATCTCAGTTTGTGGTTGCACCTGTATGCCTCTCCACCCTCTCTACACTGCTGTGGTCCTACGCAGCATGTCATGTCTCTGCATTCGGTCCAGCAAGTCCTTTGCCCGCACGTCTGCTCACACCGTTCTTTGAACGCTTCATTGCTACTATGCAGTCTTTCGCACTTTGCTTCGCACTTCAAGTGAGCATTACCCAGGTCACAAGTCTCCAGGCATGTATCGCGAAACGTACTGCAACCCCGAGACAAAATTTCGAGTCCATTTGGGGCGGGAGTGAGCGAGAGAGCAGTCCAGTCTTGCGTTCCCGAGGAGCGAAAGGGCAAGACACAAGAACCAGTATGGCAATACGTTGGCGTACTCCCCCAGCAAGACTCCACACAATCCCGATCCGGTGCAAGTGAGGCATTGATCTCTTGCCATGTTTGTTGCTGGCATTGCGTATGGTTCTTGAAGCAATTGGGCGAGCGTAGGCTGTCTGCCAACGCGTCAAGTGTAGGTGGAATACACCTATCGTGTATGCATCGGACCCAGGACTTCACGCAGTCCTCGCACTCCACCGTATGCGCCGGTTCGAGAAGGCCAGCGCGATCAGCAAGGTCTTTGCAGATCTGGCGCTCGCACGCCCCGTTTACACCGCAGTGTACGGGACCGGCTGTGCAGAGCTGGAGCTCGCATTGTAGAGTTCGCTGGTGATCTGTTGTGTGGAGTGGGTAGGGCGGGGCGAGTTCATGCCACGGGGGATTGTATGCCATTTTGCGTTCGTGAGGTGTCTCACAGCTATTCAGGTACAGCTGACAGTCCGTACACGTTTTCACTTCCGCGTTGTCCGCACCTTTTCTCGCTTCCGCATTCGCTATCCGGTTGAGCTCTACATTTTGCAGAGACAGGATAGGAAAGCGACCAGCGAGGCCGACGTCGCAAAACGCGCACTCGGAGCATTCCTGATCCCTGCACAGATCATCGGCTGTGTTTCGATGCGATGATGAGATTGGAAGTAAGAGATCTTCAGCAGCGTCGCCCATGAGCGAGCGATAGTCGGCGTAGCATGAACGGTCACATGTTTGCTGTTCAGACCCTCGAATGCCGAATAAAGAGGAGAAAGACAGTGCGCGTACAGTGAACGGAAGAGATAAGACAATGGAGGCTTTTGATGGTAGCATGGCGGCGAATGGGATGGGTTGGTGCGGGTTGATTGTAACGAACCTCGAAGCGGGGGCCCGAAGCTTTGAACATTAGAGGAATAAGTTTCTAGGAACTTTATCGTGGGAGTTTTCACTAAGAGAAATGGCTGAGAGTGAACTGACCACCTGGGTATTCCGGGCGAGCTCGCGCGAGTCACGTGACTGGTACTCACCGCGAACGTCGGGCTTCTATCCCGCATTTTGCATTCCCTCATCTCGGCACTCTGACAAACCATGACATTCGACGCAGCCTCCCAATGCGATATAATGAAACTTAAAAAGAGCAATAGCCCATCGAAACCGTTGGTCGAGCCTGCCTAATCGAGTCGCTGATTTGAGGGTACAAACACTGAGAGCGGAGAAGGCTTGGCTTGATGTGTTGAGGCCCTAGATTGTTGTATTGCATGCTATCTGATAGGCTATTAATTGACCGATGGCGCAAATGCTCGAGAATGAGTTCAACTACTCGCTGATTCGGGTGTTTGTCAGTGTCGGGGTAGCTCTTTCCCTCACTATCGACCTATCACCTGCTTCAAACCATGAGGCAGCCGTTACCTCTACACCGCTCGTGCTTCTAGCTTGGCCCCCTTTTGTACGTCGAAGTGCTTTGTAGACCGACTTCTTCCACTCCTTCCTCTCTTCCTGCACTATCAACTTCAATTCTCTTCTCCTACCACTACATTTCACTACCATCTCATCCTACACGCTCACTGAAGATGCGATTCAACAAGATCTTCGTGGCTCTGGCCATGGTACTACCTGTGGTGTTCTCTGCCAGCATCCCATCCTCGGAGCAGTTCTGCGAGCCAGGCACTCGAAAGTGCGACTACAACGACGTGGTGATCTGCAATCCCCAAGGCACTGAATACTGGTCGGATCAGTCATGTAGCAAGACCGAAATCTGTACTATTGACACCAACAACCCTGATGATCATGGTCATTGTATCGCGACCTGCGACATCCCCGGCGAAGAGCGCTGCCTCGGCAATGAGTGGCGTGTCGCATGCAACAACGAGCACCGATGGAAAGCCATTGAATCATGCCCTACACCCGGAGTATGTAACACACTCATGAACAAGACTTCCTGCGCCACTGCAGACTTGCCACCGGCGCCTCTCCCTCCTGGCACTCCACCGCAACCTGAGCCTTGCAAAACAGTGACCGAGACGCGATGCTCAAACTGGTCAAACGGTCTTTACCGCATCGAGATGTGCAACTATGATCAATTCTGGCTTGCCTATGGGACCTGCGGATCGGAAGAGTTTTGCATGCACTGGGTGCCTGGTCAATACGTCAGCCAAGGCGAAACAAAATGCGTCTACGACCCTGAAATCCTGTCCACTGCTCCTCCTCCCAAATCCCTTGACTCTCGGTCGTGGATATCGCAAGGAACTCCAGATGCTCATGAGTATTGCGACACTGGCACATCCCGCTGCTCTGGCAACAAGCGTCAGGAGTGTGTCGACAACGTCTGGAAATCAACTATGTGTCCCAAGACTTCCGAATGCGTCAAGCATGACGATGTCGTGCAGTGCTGGATGAAGCCACCGACTCCCCCGACCGTACCAGAGCCATGCACGCCAGGCGATCGAAAGTGCGACTCTGACGCATACGCCCTCATGCTTTGCGGAGACAACGAGATGTGGCATACCGAGAAGAAGTGCACCACTTACGGAGACTGCATCACTGACGGCCCAGGGCAAGCGCACTGCGAGACTGGTGGTGTAGGTCCGTCGAATGTACAACGTCAAACCAACAGCACCGAATGTGCCTACGGGGATTGGGCCTGCGACAGCCACCAGCGCTTCATGTACAAATGCAACAGTAACGGTACCTGGTCGGTGCCGTACCAGTGCAGCAGGGCCGGTGGTTGCCAACCCGAGGGACCTACAGATGCCTTCCCCAAGGGAAGGATGACCTGCGCGGGTTTTCCGAAATACTTGTACCCTTACCCTGACAACAGAGTGTGCGAAACGGTCAGAAGCTGCGAGTACATGATGTATCTCTACCCTACTGCTGTAAGTGTCCCCCTTCCCTGCTCGTTCTCTTCTACTACGACGATACACCTGGGCTTTGCGAACAATGACTAATGCGCTGATAGGGCTCACCTGATGCTGAGACTAAGGAGAAGTTCCGTAAGAGCATGTGCGCGGACGAGGCTGTAAGTGGACTATCATCAAGATTAGATGGGGTGGGCTAACTTTCTTGCAGTGCATGGACTGCGATCGCTGCACTTACAAACTCGGACATGGCGAGGTGCTACAACCTGATCTCCGAACCCTCATCCATGGCTCGCCGGTGCCTGACAATTTTGACTAGTAGTCATGAGAGAGTAGGATGAAGTACCATGTCGGCTTGAGTATAACGAAGGCACTTGGTGATGGGATTGATGTGTGGTGGAAACTACGCACGACCCAAAAGGGATGTCAATATGTCTCCGACATGGCGAACATTCTGACCTTGGGTAACCCTATTATACTCACCTGTAGTCCTCTACCAAAATGAATGGCTTACCAGCTGAATCACAAGTTTGCAAGCCGGTGGTACCCCCCAAGTCGATATAGTCCTCTCTTGCTATTCACTCCTCAACCCAACGTCATAAGATCTTTCACAACGCCGACGCGACTGATCAACACTCTCACCCACCTCTTTTACCCAACACTCAGTTACCGCGCATTCCTCTCCCAACACACGAACCAGGCAACCACAACAGCTGCGCAAACATGCACCCCATCCTCCTACCCATTCTTACCCTCCTCCTAACCCCCCTCGCCTTCGCCGCAACACCAACCACAAACCCCCGCACTACAACCTACCGATGGATCCCCAAACCCGCAACCCTGCTATCCGAGATCCCCGGATCCGGCGTTTGTGACGAGGAGATTGAGTATTGCATGAAGGTACGTATCCGCCACTGAGACCAGGAAAAAGCGAGAAAACGAGAAGCGAGAGAAAAGGATCGATCGCTGTATTCGAGCTGACGGTTTGACAGACCAAGATGGGTTTGACGCGACAGCTACAGATGCAGCAGTGTAAGCTGTGGGCTTGTGCGTTTCATGATACGGTAAGTTGGGTTGGAGAAGGATGGGGAAGTCAAGTTGGCTAACGTGGTGGTAGTGTCCTGGGACTAGGTACTGTGATGTTGAGTACACCCTCTAGCGACGTTGACGGGCGTACTGTGTGAGAGATAAGCGTAAACTGCATGGTGACAATCTGGAACATGTATCCGCATAGATGGTGGTAGACAGTAGCACAAAAGACGAGCCATCTGGAACAAGATGGGGAATTGGTCACTGATAAATGTGAAATACCTCTATATGAGCCAAACGACCCTTCGAACTTTTGTTCCTCTTGTTGCGCCGATCTTGCCTTAGCGCCATGCTATGCTTTGAAACCACTTTTGTTGTATCCGCAACTCCTGATGTACCGTTCATGCTGGGCCCCCGAGAAACCTCATCAGGTACCCTCCCAACGGTCCAAAAAGCGGAAATCCTGTGTTGTGACCTCCGTTCCTGCCGAGCCACAGGGCATAGGCACCCACTACCATGGCAAGACCAAAAGCTCCGTACCGGCGGTGGTGCCAAACACGCAATTTGATGTAGTGTATTGTCTTGACGGCCTGTCTCAGGCTCTGCGCGCGACGGAGGTCCTGCTCCTGCTGCAAAAACAGCATCTCGCCATCCTCCAAGGTAAGATGACGCAGACTGTTGTTTGTCGCAGACGATTTGAGTACGCTGGAGGACGAGATGCGCCACCACTCCCAGCTGTTGAGCGACGCAGGAGGTAGTCTCTCGTACAGCTCCACGGTCCGGGCGATGTGGAACTCGACGTCAAAGGGCTCTGGGAGCTTTCCTAGCATGACGTAGAGTATGTCCTCGTCTTCCTTCTCGTACTCCAGCAGCTCCTCCCTCTTGGATAGCACCACAGCTGCAAAGAGGTATATAGGCATAACGGCATGCCGCGCCAAGAAGAAGTCAAACAGCCTCGTGATATCCTTGTAGTCTTGTATATTGTGGGCGAACATGGTGATTGTTCCGGCAAGCGCAAACGAAGGCTGGCTCTTGGGAAGGTGGTCGTACAGAACGGGATCGGCCGCGCGAAGGATCGGTCGCAGCAATTCGAGCTGGGCGAGGGCTGGATCGAGCGACGACAGCATGAAGTCGCGAATGCGCAGCAGGCTTAGTCGGGCAACTGCAGCGGGGGCATGTTCGGGGCCGAGGACAAGTAGGAAGACCTGGACTATATCGTGGTAGCCCTGGAAGTAGCAGAGCGTGGGGTGATGGCGCAGGACGTCGAGGATGACATCGGAGAGCTGCTCTTTTCGACGATTGAGCTGCTTCTCAGATTCTGGTCCTATTAGTATGAAACACGAGTTGGTTCGCTTGTATGCAACATACCGTTCCTGGGGTAGTAGACAAACGCGCGGTTGACATCCAAGCCAACCTGATGCTCATCCTTGTGTTCGGAGAGATGTTTCCATGGCTCCTTCTCCGAATCCTTGTCAGAGCATCCTAGCAAAAGAGGCCCTATAGTTGTCAGCCTAGTGTGGAGATGCGTGCAATGGGAGGCCTACAAGCAGTGCAACGCAAGCTATCGCTGACGAGGCCAGAGGGACTAGTCGCGAGGTCTACCAGGGCGGTGACGTCGCCATTGTCGATTGCGGTGCGTACTAGAGACTCCTTCTCCTTCTCGGCAGGCGTCAGTTGGGGAACGGGGGTCGCGTGTCGCGTGGGTAGGCTGCCAGAGCTCACTGAGCGCGACACGGAGCCAGAGGGGGTGCGTGATGCCATGACAGTGCCCGCATTTCGAGACGTGCCCTCAGAACGCGGCAGCGGCAGGAAAGAGCTGGATCTGGGACGCGATGACGTGGCCAACGTGGGCCCTCGTGTGCGCAGGAGAGCGCAGGGAAGAGATGCAAGAAGGTGGCAAGATGTTTGTTGGAGGAGCTACATGCTGTTGCGCGTAGGCATCCCAGCTGCCGGGTTGACGTGACGGGTCGCGCCTTCCTCCTTGTCCAACCGAGGCGCTTGGCACCCCACCGACTTGTGAAGGTCAACTACCGGCACTTGCCGCCTGCTATCCCATCGCCATCATCTTTTATCCGCTGTCTGCGCGGGGGTGACGACCGTGTAACCCGACAACACCACTCGCGCCCACCCTGCACATCTTCGCCGGCGGCCATCAAGGCCCGAGACGCTGCCGTGCCGCCAAATCTTCCGTGTCGGCGCACTTGTCTGCATGCTCGACACCTTCACGCCGACCAACCATTGCTGGAAGACCTCCCGCACCCTAGTCAACTACTGCGCCGCATCACTGGACTTGCAACCAACTCACATAGCCATCGCGATCCGACCGCGATCCGACTAAGATCGTACTCCCTGCTGCACGATCATCTGGTGATCTAGATCGGTACCCCATTCCGATACTTGAAGCGCACTACACGAGCCTTTCCGCGCTCCACACGTGCTGCGTGCTAGTAGTAGGTGCAGCCAGTAACTCCATCTCTGAGAAGGTGTCCAGGGTGCTACAGTGGCCTGCTAGCTGCCGGCTTGAGTTGGTCAAGGCATCCCGGTTCCAGTTCCCTTAGGTCGCTGCTGCTATTCCACTCACCACCACTAACTGTCCAATCCAGCCCTTGCCACATCCGACAGGCTTTCTGTTGCATCAATTGATCCCAGTACCTATTGCTGAACTTCCTTGCCTCATCAGCCTGTCTGACAAGCCTGTTGCGACAGGCAGCAACATGTCATCCGTTTCAGCTCTGAACAGTGTGCCTTCGTTGCTTCTACGTGCGCTGGTCTGATCTGATCCCGTGTTGCGCGCGGAATCTGTCACCATCGTTTTCGGTTTTCAAGCTATACTTTGTCTCCAGCCTTCCGACGAGGCCTTAATCAAACATCATGGCCCAAGCCCACGGCCTCAGCCTCGTCGACGGTGAGTGGGTTTCCAGACCGCTCGACCCTTATCAGATCATGGCCAACGCGCCTCAAGATAACGTTGAGATGCTGGATGCAACGCCCAAGCCAACAAGCCAAGTGCCTGAATACGGCATACTGTCGCAGACCGTCTTCGAGACACCGCTCAGCAGACTCATCCTCCCGGCGAATATACGTCACAAAGATCTGATTGACTTTGTCATGGTCGGCGAGGACTTCATACGTCTCAAAGAGATCCGTGACTATGGCCAGATCCGTCATGTAGCTTCCAAGACTGACTTCAACGGCGGCCGCATCATCACCGCCAAAGTCTTTGGCGACCCTCGTGAAGTTTCCGCAACCACAAGTGGCAGTCCTTCGCTACATCAAAATTACATGAAGCACAGGACTAGAAAGTCGACTACGGAAAACGGAGACGACGCCTTACCTCCGGAAGTCGTTGTGCTTACTCTATCAAACCGGTCCTTGATGTTCTTGTGGGCTCAACACGATACAGCGGGTACTGCCACTTTCATTCAGAAGACCATCAAGCTACCTGCAGGGAGTTCCCGCTTGGATCGTTTTGGTACTTTCCTCGCTATAGATCCCAAATGCCGAGCAATGGCAGTCGCAGCACATGAAGGGCGCTTTATTCTCTACAAGACGAAGCCGATGGAAAGATGGAGAAGGGATTCTAGAATGAGCAATGAGATTGCTACGCCTATCGAAGATGAGCGAATCATGTCTATTGAAGGTCAGATCATGCACATGGATTTCTTATCATCAGGAGGTGGTCAGGACGATTACCACGTCGTTTTGCTGTTCGTTGTCGTCCTCCAGGGGAGGACCAGGCTCACCTGTTTCGATTGGGATTGCAGACAGGATCTCAGTAAAGCAACCCCGCGGACGGAGCGATACCTTGTCCAGCCTGGTAAGTGTATACACGTACTAAGTAGATTATGAGCGTTACTGACCTGTCCAGAGGACACGATACCTTCTCTACTCATACCCCTTCGCCGGAGTCCCGATTTCCTTCTAGTTTCCGACGACCACATCTCGGTTTACAAGAATATTCTCTCTGGAGATCCAACGCAAACCACAGTGTCGATCGACAAGTCAATACTTCAATCAATACTGCCAGGCGATGGCAAGCACGCCCCCAAGTGGACCGCTTGGGATAAGGCGCCACGCAACTCCGATTACCAAAAGGAGGTATTCTACATTGCAAGAGAGGATGGCCGTATTATGTATGTGGTGCGAGGGCCAGCGGGCACTCTGGAGATCGATGAGGCTGGTGATTGGCAACACCGGATTGACACCTCCTTTTCATGCTTGAGTATCGACAACTCAGAAGTGTCGCAGCAATACCCAGATCTTCTGATTGCCGGCGGGGCAAGCAATGACGGATTGGTTTGCAAAGTCGGCGCCTGGCCCGCTGAGTACTCGTATGCAGTGCAATATCCGAGCACAAACCAGTTCTCCTTCGTCGACAACATACCGAATTGGACGCCTCTTACAGACCTTGCAGTGACTAAACTTTCTAGCCCGCGCGCGCCAGACGAACGTCAACGGTCTTCCATCTTCGTCGCGACCGGCAACAGCCCACATGGAGAGATCTCGGAGCTGCGACGCGGCATACAGGCTGTTGTTGACGATAGTTTCAGCGGCATAAACGGCTGCGCTGGGATTTGGGTGGTTGACCATGGAAGTCACATGGCAGACATCGAAGGCACGATGAGGAGACAGCATTATGCCATATTTTCGATAACGCTTCCGCCAGAGACTTTGGTAATTCGCATCGTTCGCACACAATCGGAGAGCCGCGCAGACTTCACTGGAGCATGGGAAGAGGGCTTCTGGGATAAGTTCCAGACACCCAGCGACGATGATCCACTCGAAGATGATCTGATGCGAGAAGAGGAGACCATCTCGGCATGTCCCTGGTCCGACACAATATCGATCCAGATCACAAGGCGAGAGGCCCGCACTCTTCTTCGGCCAACATTGAGACAAATCGAGTCTTTGAAGTTTGACTCTCCGTTGCTGTTGGCTGTCACCCATACTGCGTGCCCTTTCATCGCGCTTGCGTCTCGAAAGAGCGGCCGTGCGCTATTAGAAATCATACCAATCTCAAAGGGCGGCAACTTCGACCGATCGAATGCATTCCAACATCAGCTAGCTCATGATCCCACATGCGTAGAGACACTGGAAATCGACGGCTTTCCATATGTGTTTGTTAGTACATTCGATTCAAAGGTTTTCCTCTTCCAGTACTCGTATGACGAGACCTCATTGATGTTGGAAGACTCCTGGGAAGACCAAGATACCCTCAACGGTTCGCAGAAGCTCTGTGAGAGTGTTGCAGTTCTGAGCAAGGACGGCAAGAATGTTCTGGTGTGCGCAATGCGGGATGGCACTCTTCTGAGTTCGCCAGTCCACGTAGAGCACGGTGGTAAGTTTGAGCAGACCCTAATACGAGACGCTTCTCACATCGTACAGTCATATCACCCCTGTCCTGGAGCACTACTCATATGGGCGCGGCTTCGGCCAAGATTACCCGCAGCGAAACAGATGTATCTGCAGCGTTTGTTTCTTGTGGATCAGATTTCTGCCGAGTGCGCCCCTCTTCAAGTGAGTTCTCCTGTCTCGACATTGATTCCATATGGTTTACCGACCGCGGCCACCCCGAGTACAATCAATCGCCAGTATCGGCAATTTATCAATTACCATTCCTTCCAAAATTGGACGCTGTTGGGAGAAATCTCGGTGGATTCCTATTTGCAGTCGCCGGAGATCGTCTACTCTTCTCGCAGCTCGATGCAGACGTGAAATGGTCAAGTCAGGACAAGCCTTCTACTATTCCGCACGACTCCAAGATCGTTCCTAGGAAACTCATCACGGGCGCCAAACCGACCAATATACTGTACATGCAGAAGTTACGGCGAGTACTAGTGTCGACTATGGAAGCGAAAGAGAGACGAGGGCCACCTTCTGGCGAACGATTGTTGCACTCATCAATCAAGCTACTGAGGGTGCGCGACGACAGACCGACCGATGATTTGGAGGTCAAACAGGAGATTGAAGCGCCGGTGGAGCGACTAGTCGTTGCCCAAGCTCCTTTGATGAACGCCGAGAGGGTCTATTCCATCGTCGAATGGCAGTTTTTGAACAAAGATAGCAAGAGATATAATCTCATCATTGTTGGCACCGGAATCCAAACCGGCCCCTCGCAGCATAGCGGAAGGCGGCTGATCTTCAACACTGGCAAATCGGGCTCCAAGCTGGACTTGCAGAAACAGTCAACATATAACGATCCTGTCTATGGCATAGCGCTGTGGGACAACCAGACGACAGTCAGTATCGTCGGGAAATCTTTATGCATCGATCGTTTCGACGAGGAAGCCGGTCGATGGTTCCAGCGCGGTAAAACAGATCTGCACTCTCCAGGGATTCATGTGTCTGTCATACAGCCATTTGTCTACGTTTCGACGCTCCAGCACTCACATCTTTGCTTCAAAGTTGTGCAATCAGCACGACCCGATACTTTCGAGTTTGTGCGGGAGTTCTCTGATAGTGGTATGCGCAACTGCGCGCGGCACCTGGTCATGGAGTTGGCAGACAAGGAGGGTACTAGCAACGATCGATTCGTTTTACTCACCGATAAGAAGAGCAGCTCGGTAACCGGTCTCTACCAGCCACCTCTTCGGACCCATAGTAACGCTTCACCGACATTGTTCGAAGCATGCCTTCCCCGATCTGTGATTCGTCTCGACTGCGGCGATATCCGCCCACCTTGGCGCCGTCCAAATCCTGCAGGAAAGGTCACCGGAGTCCTTGTCGACGATATCATCGGCGCTTGTACCGATGGCACGATCTTCTCTTTCTCCATTCTTTCCAAGGCCGCCTGTCTACTACTTCGCCTGATACAAAACCTGATCGAGGTGAAGTCGAATCGTTCGGGCGCCCACAAACACGACACAGTCAAACCCCGTAGTGGCGATATCTTCAATGTTCTCATGAATAACATCCCTGGCAATCAACACGGCGAGATTCTGGTTAGGGATGTAGATCCACGGTATCTAGGTCAAAGCCTCCAACGAGGCGCCAAGCACAAGCATATTGACGGCGACTTGCTGAAGAACTGGCTACATGAGGATGGCGATCTGAGGAGTTTGGTATGGAATAACGCAGATCAAGAGGTCAGAAAGCTCTACCAGAAATTCGCGCTGGATGTCGAGGAAAAATGGGGAACGGTGGAAACTGGGGAGACCAATGGGCACGGGCAGCAGCAGTTCTGCGAACGCGTAAAGAGATGGATGAGCGAGGTACTCATGCCTGTGCTATAAAACTCCAGGCACCCATACTAGGGCTGGCTACCATGCATGTTGCATCCGAGAAGAAAAGTTATCTGAGGTAGAAGCACGCGTCGTCTTTGAAAATACTTGTTGGGATTCAACAGTGTGCGTACGAAGCAGAACGTCCCCTTCACCCATACCCTGAGTAAGACATGCCATCTCATGTCGCACACTGTTCGTCCACAACCACGCAACGCAACTATGAGACAACACTGTCTCTCTAGCATCGTGTAAACAGAATCACATAAAGCTCATCACTACTTAAACTTAGCAGAACCAGCTTTCACACGCCATCCTGCCAGTTTGCCATTTTGCCATACTGCCATTTTGCTATGCCACCATGCCCACAATAAATCTCTTCTGCCTCTCCCTCACCATCAACAAGCCAAAGAAGAAGGAATCATCTTTCAACTTCATCCGTCTTCATCCTAAACCCCATATCGAACCGCTCGTTACGCCTCCTACTTCCCCGCTAGTCTCGGCTCCGCCTGCTCTTCCTCCTGCTGCTGCTACTTCTCCCCCGCCACCAAAGCGATGCGAGTCTCCAGCTTCTCAGTCGGATCCTGCGACTTCGAAGTTCACTGAGCGGCTTGAACTCCCGCCGAGCTTTTATGAGACATCGTTTTCGGAGTCGACGGCTGAGTTGGTTCCTGAGCCGTTGGGATTGCAGACAACGGAGACTTCCGAGGCGCTACGTAGCGATGCAGTGAGTACTTGTCGCCAAATGGGTGCTAGTAGGGAGTAACAAGTATAGATACATCCATATCTCAGGACTTCGGTTTATGGGGTTGTGGATAGTGCGGATCGCGATGGGTATATTGATAGGCGGTCTGATGGAAACATGATGAATGGGGGGTTGACTGGGTTTGACGAGGGTGAGATGGGAGATGACGGGAACTAGAAGATTGGGAAGATCAAGTGCATACGAGTACATTGTGTTCCGAGAACTTGGATGAGAGACACTGGCCTAGTTTCGCGCAACGCATTTTCTTCTCCTCCCCCTTGAAACTGTACCCTCCACACTCCGGTCTTGACTATAGTTGGAATGTTTGTATTGATCACTAAGTGAGCAAAATTGTGTTTGAATTGAACTTTCCTATCGCTAGAGCATCCTCCAAACGTATTCGTAGAGTCATGTGAAGTTGAAAAGGTCAATAACTGCATAGTGCACTTTAGCTTTTGCTCGATACTTGAGCCTCAAAGCTAGCCTCACTACCAGCCTTCTCTGTTCACTGCTGGTTAGTAACGCAAAATCAAGGCTGAACGTCACCGGAGGCCTATCACTCCGGCATAGGCTTGTGACGTGTCAAAGGGCACAGTGGCGTTCAAAAGCCGCAGCGCGCAGCAGGCTTTGATAATCCAGTGATTGGGTCGTTGTTGCTCGCTTGCATGTCTGATCTCGTGATCCATCGAAGGGCACAGTGGCATTTTGTACTAGCCGAATTGGTGTAATGTCCTTCTCAGCATTAGAATGGAGAGAACATGTGTAGCAGCCGTGGTCCATCCCGCGCGGCCATCTTTCTCTCTCAAGCTCACCTCCTTGCTGCCACTCTACTGTCAACGATCGCGAAATCTGCGCGACCCTCGTCCAATCAGTTTTGGAAGTGTTGATAACTTCAGGGACCGATCAAGATTCTCGTCATCGATCCATCTCCAAACCCCTCCGCGCACTGGGGACAGAACAAACAGGCACTTCGAACTCCTCGGGAAGATGTTCAACATGTCTTCACCTCCTGCATTTGGGGAAACCTGCGACGAACGCTTCGATCGAAATCTTCCGGATGATCTTTCTGCGGCTAGCAAGGCTGGCCCCAGGTAAGTTTTTTTTTTTATCACTGACGTTAAAACAGCGCCGTTCGCTATAATTATGGCGTCATCGCAAAGCACGTCTGGTACAACGGCAACCTATACCCCTACACCTTCGTGGGTAGCCGCACGCTAGTGGAGGACGCCCAGGCAGTGCTCAACGGTGAAGCCAGCTACCTATTGGATAACGATGGAATCCTTGGCGATGTCGACCAGGATTACGTCAACGCCATAGCCCCACAGATGAACATGCTCGTCGCTTTGCAAGCCAACGGCCCAGACACAGCGCCGCTTGGAGGCCCACCCCAGCTTCAGCCTCCTGTTCCTGTCGCACTCATCAACCCGACATTCAACAACCAAGTTCAGCATGCCGCCGTTACGATTCCGCAGTGTCCCTACGGATGCGCCGGTACCTTCGGCCGTCCTGGAGAGTATAACCGCCACATGAAGAAGCATAACGGCCCCTTCTTCCCTTGCACGCAGCCTTCGTGTGGCATGATATTTTATCGCCGGGATAAGCTGCGCGATCATCTTGCCAGAGGTCATTAGACGGGGTGATCCGTAAGTGATATGCACCTCCATCATTGCTGGGAGGATGCCTGATAGTCCTGTTGTCGTGGTCAGACAATGAGGCTGTAACGAATGCAAAGCAGGTCAGATTGGCGGAGGATATCATTTATGTTTGAGTGCTTGTGTTTTTGAGCTCCCATGTATTTCCTTCTGTTAGATAACAAAACCAGTAACAGTAACGTATCATGATACTTCGTCCGTTCTATATCTGAAACTCAGTGACTGCGCATGCGGAGTGTGAGAGTTCTTCCGCCAGAAGGACGTAGTAAACAGTCTAGAAGGCCTGGGACCAATGGTATCGCGTACGTTCAACGAGAACAACGGACCACAAAACTCGTCATAGGCGTCCGCTTGATCCCGCGGACGAGCCGCAAACATCGACTCAGGCTCACCATTTAGTGAGAAGACGTGAGCATTGGCTGGACAACCCGAGATCGCTACACTGACCGCGGTGGACTTATCGTCTTCGGCTTCTTTAGTCCAGAGCAAAACACTGAAGAGATCCCGTATTTTTAAAAGATGCCGCTGGAGTGACATTGCCGATGATCTCACGATCCGTATGTCTTGCTCCGCAGCTCCTTCGCACATCTCTTGTATGAGAGGCTCGTCGATGAAGCTGAGAAACATAATGCATAGCCATCCTTTACGAGCTTCCGACTTGACTGCGTGCAACGGCTGGAGAGCTCTGCATATGTGCCCGAAAGTGGGTTCAAGAAGCAAAGGGTCTACTGAGTCAAGTGAAAGCCTTCGGATGATGTCTGGTACGCGGTGACAGTATGCTATGCTTCCGGGAAAGTCAAAGTCGCGCGTCTCGCGTAGGTGATTATATGCTGACTCCAAAACTTGCGAGAATGGCAGTACTTGAGTGGTGCGCCCGAGCTGGATCGCGTCTAGAGTAAGCTCTTTAGACCCAATGACGGCGTTATGCTTCTTGTTGGGCTTTAGACGATCCTCAAGTCGAGTCAGGACAAACGGGGCCATTTCTCCATCTCGGAGTTGCATGGGAATCCTAAGAGATGGTGGAACAGCATACAGCCAGCTCATCCGGCCTTCTTGAACCAAGGATTCTACGATAACCTCGAGTGCTTCGTTGGCACTATGTGCTGGGTTTGGCTTCACATTCTTGAGCCGCAGCATGCCACACAAGGCGTAGTATTTGTCTGATGGTACCGTCGCGCTGAGCGTGGAAGCTAGCTGCAATACGTTCGCGTCGCATAGCTCGTACGTCTGGGCTTCATCGTAGTTCTGCCGAAGATACCATAATCTGCGGCACCAAGACGCAAACTCATCGAGCCATGTCTCTTCCAAATTACGACGGAATAAGAGTGCGGCAACTACGGCGGTGTCGGCGAGAGAAAGCCAGTCGCCACTATCGTCCCAAGTCAGTAAGTAGTTCTGACTGAGTAGTATCTCTTGTAGAATCCAGGCTCTCTCGCGCCACGTAGCATGGCACAGAACCCTTAGCGCATTGAGGGCTGTCGTCTCGAGCTCTGAGTCAATCTCCTGCAGCGACGTGCAAGATTGACACAGAAGACAGCTATGCGGGACCATTTGCGCAATGTCTCTGAGCCTCAATGGTCCAGACAGAGGGCAATGCATACGTCTCTTGACTTCCAGCACTGGACTTAGATTCAGCCCAGGTACCCGCAGGAGCAGGATCGTGCATCGCGCCTCATAGTATATCTCATCCATCCGCGGTATCCAATATGACTTGTCTTCACTCGACTCTTGATCGATGCACATGCAATCCAGCCAGCAGCGAGTTGCCTTCCCCGTGACAGCCTTGACTTCCGGAGACGCACGCTCTCCCAGAAGAGACGTCAACCGCTTCTGGAGCGCTGCCCAGCTCGGGATCTTATCCGATGCATTATCTCGCCATTCGCTCCAAACGTATGATATCGCGACGTGGGTACGGAACCTGCTCGTGAGGTAGGCGTGGCGGTCTATCTGGCGGTGGAATAAGGACGTGTTCGGGTCTATGAGGGCAAAGGCTGATCGGGTTGACGAAAGATGCGATTTCGGGAGTTTCTCCGCCATTCAGACATGGTCGTAGTCGTGAGGACGGTGCTCCCGGTGCGATTGGGGTGTGAACGTTTGAAGAGTCAAGTGGATGGAACGCGCGTGAGTGCTAGGGAAGCATCGACTTCGGGACCAGCTGGAGCGATGCAGCGACTATACCTATCTGGGTTTAGCCACATACCTCTCTCCAGCGCATCGATAGAACGCGTCGAAACCTACTGAGGAAACATCGAATCCATCTACAGCTCAATACTATCCAAAGTCCAGTTCTGCCTCCAGGCTTGTTTGGCCGACTACCTTGTCATCACGCGCGGTGCTTCCTATGTTGCACCGTCTAAACAGCGACATGGCCCACACAGCTGCATCGCTGAGTCAATATGTCAATGGCACCTCTGCAGGCGCTTGCCAATGATTCTTAGCTATCTGAGTCATTCGAAGATACAGCCTCATGTCCTTCGACAGCAACGTGACAGAAGGTGTTAGAGATAGGCGACGCTGGTGGATGCATCGCAAGATCGCGACCCCCGATGACGATAACGCGATGACGTCGTCTGAGGCCGCGACATTCCAAAACACGTCTGACATGTGAAGGACCGGTAGCACAGACACGCTACACCGACTATCTCCCGTCTCGAGGCCGTTGAAAGTAAAACTTCACTTTCCATCCATCCGAGCCAGTAATCGCTTTATCTAGGGCATCAAAAACTTGTCAAGCGTGTCTCAGCCTGCACCTGACCGGTCAACAAGAAGTCTTTTCCGAAGCCGGAAAACACATTCTAGCCGATATTAAATGCACGATGGCGAGCCTCTTGCTCGCGGCCCTGAAAATCTCAGCCGCACTAACGGCTAACAGTGGGTCCGCACGCGTTATCATCACTCCACTTAGCGCGTGAGACGAGCGTGGCGCATCATCTTGATGTCGTTCGACGCAAATTCTCGAAACGGTTCCGGGACAAGTCGGGATGGTGCTTGTTGCGCACGATTTTTTGCTCGCCAATTTTTCGTTGGTGACTGTATTCAGGGTCATGTTGGGAAGGCGCGGCGGAGGCGGAGGTGTATAAGAGGGATTGTGGCTCTGGGGTTTTGTCTACTTTCATCCACATCTGCATCTGCATCTATTCCACTTCACATCAGACGAAGACAACTACGTCATACCTTCATATCTCTATCTCAATCAACAACAATCAACACTAAAATGCCTTCTTTCAAGGGTACGTTTACCTCTCTTTCAAGGCTTTCATCTTTTCTAACAATGTATCCAGACTCCGTCTCTTCCACTCCCGCCGGTGCCTCAGGTGCCCCAACCCCAGCCTCCACCTCGGCACCCACATCAACCCGCGACACTCTCCACGCTGCATCCGCCGCACTTGGCCTGACCTCCCAGGGTCTTGACCTCTGCCCTCACTGCTTCCGTGAGATGTCGCACTGCAACGAGCGTTTCGAGTTTGCTTAAGCACACCACAACGCAAACTCAACTGCCGACAATCACACACACACTCGGCATTGTACTTTATCAGAACTCTCTTCCCGAACGACAGCGAAAGGTGGCGTTTTGGCATTGAGGGGCTACGACATTTCACATTTTTTCGGCATGGCATTGGGCATTGGATGGACGGCATGATTGGCGTTTATTCTGGGATTGGGGGAAACTTACAGGAAACGGCATACCCTACTTTGAGCGATTGTACATCAACACGAGGATACAATCTTCGGATCGCATCTCAATCGATTTCACACATTCTTCTATCATGGTTCAACATTGGTGGATTCTCGTGACCTGGTTTCCGTTAGCTGTGAGATGACATTGCCAAACGTGATGTGCAGCTGGTGCGATAACGTTGCGATGTTGGGAAGTCTGCTTGCACAGTCTGCTGTATTCTGTCTACGCAAATGTTATCTGCAGCCCCGAAACAGGGGAATATTAATTGCGAGGGAGATGTTCAGAGTGGCGAGGGTGTTGATAGGCTGACGTCATCGCGAGCTTCTGCATTCTGCTGTTCAAATCTCACTGCAGCGTCCCAAATCTGCAATTCGCATTTTGTGTGGGCTCAATGCGTCCAGTATACGACGGATGCGATATAGTCGGTGTGCCCAGGTGGGTAGTCTGGAGATACGCGCAGCCGCTACCCCGCCGATACCCGGACGCAGCTTCCACAGAGCGTTAGTCAACGCCATGCGCATCACGATAAGACTTTTCTTCAACACCAAGCTTTTCCCTCTCATTCCCATGCCAGACCTCCAGCATGGCTATCGCCCAAGAATTTCGACGTCCTTCGACTATTCAAGAGGAGGAGACCACACCCCTCCTACCGCGCGATGAGCCGGAGCCGAAACCAAGAGAAGAAAAAGCGGCCGTACCGGTGTTATTCCGCGCTCTAATATGCGCGTTCCTTGTGTCGTTGACATTCAGTATCACACAGGCTCCTATGCTATACGCCTTCCGGATACTGACCTGCGATGCATACTACGAACACCATGAGCCGGATCCGAACGCTGCTGATAGATGTGCGAGACGCGAAATCGACGCTGGAGCGGCCAGGGCTTTTGCACTACTTGCATCATCCACTACGATATTCGGCCTTGTCAATTTGCTGGTAGCTGCATGGACTATCAAGCGCCTGGGCGTCAAGTTGGCTTTGATCATTCAGATCTTCTGGCCTGCGGTCCGCCTTCTGATCCAAAATATCGGTATCATGCATGGCAGCAGCGCTGGCATCATGATCGTGCAATGCTCGCAAGTCATCACAGTACTTGGCGGCCCTAATGGATACGTTTTGTGCCTCAATTCTCTGGTGGCGGACGTCGTCGAGCATGAAAAGCGCACAGGCGCATTGGGCAGACTCCAAGGCTGCATGTACTTCGGGAGCGCCATCGGGTTTTTGATCGGAGGCATTATCGGCGACTACTTTGGTATACTTGCGCCCTTTCGAATGACTCTGGTGTTGTTCTTGCTTTGCTGC